AATAATAATAATAATAATAATAATAATAATAATAATAATAATAATAAAATAATTAAAATAAGTGGACTGAGGGCCCTGTTTCCTGGTTATCTTAATATCTATGGATTATAATTTTCTTACCTGCTCCAAAGAGAAAGAAAGAGATTGTATTGTATCTGTAATCTGGTTTATATGATCTTTATGATCATATGCATATACAAGAGTGATTTGAGATGAGTGGTTATATAAGTTGGATAAATAAAATAAATATAAAAGTTATTATTAAGCCAGTGTGCTGCAACTTTTGGATTATATTTCCCACATTTTTTCCACTTGGCCATAGTGCTTGGGCCTATTATTTCCAACATATCTATAGGACAATAGATAGATGTAGGCTACTGAATACTATAAAGAGTTGCCTGATAAGGCACCAGGTAAATGGCTAAATGTGTCCAATATTTATATGTTGTGTCTGAAAACAACTTTCCAGTATGTGTCTTTTCATTACTGGCCTGCTACCTAACCTTTCATTAATTAGAAATATAAGAATTGAAACTTTGAATCTTGTACACTGGAAGCCTTTGATGTACTTATGAATTTGCTGAGTTGTGTCTTCCTTTTGTTTTACAAGCATGGCATGATAGTCTAGCCAGCATGGCTTGGTAGTTAATGTGTTGGAGTATGACTGGGAACACCTAGGTTCAAATCCCCTTTGCAAAAGAAACTCGCTGATCGACTTTCAGGCAAAGCCATAAAAGATTGATCAATCACACCAATATTTAGATTCAACTAAGTAACAGGCAGCTTCAATTTATAATACGATCAAGCAACAGCTGCTTCATAAAACTAGTTGGCACCATTGTGTTGTGTCTATTTTTGTTTTCCCTAGTCTGCATTGACTGCCTATTATTTGTTACCATTTCGCTCCCCAACCGAAGAGGCATAATGCTCAGAGCTCGCCAAGTTACTTTGCCACATGAGACAGAAAATTCCAGAGTATCGACTACCATCTACTGCAGTATACTCACAAGAACAATAAATTCTTGTTTGGAAACATTGTCAAATGTCTGCTGTTGGAGGTGATTATTCCACAGCTTAATGGTAGAATTGGATCCAACAGCTACTGCTGGCTCTCACTGCAATGTTGTATGGATGAGACACCTGCCAGAGCTGTATTGATTAAGCAATGGAGCTATATTGATTAAGCAAATAATACTTGTTATTTCCAATTATGCAAGTGCCCTTGATCCTTTGGCATTCTCTTCAGGTTAGGTTGGAAACATGCATTAAAATTCAGTACAGGCTTCTGAGGTTTCCCAAGTTTTAGGTACTTATCCTTGCGGGCATTTTAGTCAAGCTATCTTATCAACTCTCCTTAGTTAACAATTCAGACACGTCAGTAAAGTACCTAAGGCTAGAATAGTAGAAGAAGCTGCTGCTTAGGGAATCACCTTTGCAAACTTGCTCATAGTTTGATGGCAAGTATAGAACAGATAGGGAAGAAAAGGAGTAGAAACTTGCAGCAAAGGATCCATTTGTTTTTTGAAGTTCACATTCCTAGACTTCAAGGGTTAAGTTGATTTATGTGTGTTTATTCCCTGTTTGGTTTGGTTTCTCCTTTATTTTCTTCAGAATATCAATGTAGGTTGTAAGCTTCCCTGTTAGATAACCTGCAAACAAGTGCTTGGAAACTACAAAGTTTTTTCTGTTTTAGGAAGGAGAGATTACGTTACACATCTGTGGACAAATATGGATCTGCAGATTCCGCTTTGTTGCTTGTTGCATCTGATTGCTGGTTCATTTCCATAAAAAAGATGGAAGTATTAGACCAGTCTTTCTCAGCCTTTGAAGCCTGAAGATATGTGGAGTTCAGCACTCAGAATTCTAGGAGTTTGATGTTCACACATCTTAAAGCTGCCAAGGTTGAAAAACTCTGTATTAGATTATATGTTTTCAAAAAGAACGAGTATTCTTCTTCAGAAAGAGTGGTCATTTCAAATGTTTAGTCCAGAGGTGGTATTCAGCAGGTTCTGACTAGTTCTGGAAAACCGGTAGTGGAAATTTTGAGTAGTTCAGAGAACCAGCAAATACCACCTTTGACTGGAGATTTTACAGTATCCTTCCCCTGCCACGCCCACCAAGCCACTCCCACAGAACTGGTAGTAAAAAAATAAAGAATGCTACCACTGGTTTAGTTGTTTCACTTAGGTGCTTTCAGATGGTCTTCATTATGCTACCATACACCACTAATTGTATGTTTCTTTCTAGTTACAGGGATGCTGAAAAGAATTTCCATAATATTTCCAACCGATGCTCCTATGCAGACCATTCTGGCAATGATGAAACTGAAGATGTCTCAGGAATTCTCCAGCGTACAGCAAATATTCTTGGTACTATATTATTATTCTCTATAGCCCCTTTGTTAGTATAGAACAGTTTTGAATTTCCCTTCATTTACTTACAGTGGCCTATTCTGCAGACCTTTGACTTTTACTTGGATCTGTGTAGCTAAGCAGAAGGTTGTTTCTGTTCAAATTAAGCATTTTAAGGATAGGAATTCTGATATGCAGGCTGTATAAATTTTGGTTGGATGCTATTGCAATTAAGTGACTACATTACTGACTCAGAGATTGTACTTAATTCTCAACAAGTCCTCTTCAAAGAAAGTTAAAGATTATCAATTGTGTGCTTGGTACTCTTCATTTTAATGATTACTTTCATGAGGAGGTAGAGAGAAATATTTAATAAATTTGCAGATGACTCACAAGTGAATAGCACTGATGAAAAGGATTCTGGATTGATAAATAATGACAAACAGAACATGAATTTGCTATATGCTACCCACAGTCCATTCAAAATTAGATGAGTGGCATATAAATGTAACAAAAATTAATAAACATACAAACCAATAAACTAATAACTTGTGGTATGACATGCCTACACAAAAAGTGAAGTATATGAAATTTTAGGCTTATATTAATAAAGATTCTAAAGATTCTGAAATCTTAGATCTGTTTTAGATACTATGCTTAGTTCTGGGCATTTCTATCACTATGCTAAGTGATAGAAATACCTCAAGATAATTAGAAGCTAAATGATATGAAAATATATTAGACTTAAGAAAAGTTTGTTTATTTATTTATCAGTCACATTTTTGACCTATCTCTCTCACAGTTGACTGGGAGGGTATCTGATTCAACTCTTAAATCAGTAGAATTCCGTAACCAGTTCTTCATCATCCTAGAATTCAGGAAATGCACATTCATTTTGAGTTTGTAGAAAGATAGATTCTTTTTTAATTGTCAGAGAAGCCTCAACATGATGATAGCTGTTGAGAGTGAAATGTGTAAAGGAGGTGGTAAAAACTTTACTGAATGTGTTCAAGCAAAGGTAAGGTAGCTTAATAGGGTTACTGTCCTATTAAGATGATTCTTCTAGCTATCAGTGGCACTAAACTGATCTTCATCCTAACCTAACTGAGAGTGTGCAATTGTTCTAAATCAGGGGTGTCAAACTCGCGTTGTCACATTGTCATCGTGATGTACCATGACATTTTCCTCCTTTGCTAAAACAGGGGTGGGCGTGGCCAGTGTGATGCATCTGACCCGCGGGCTGCGAGTTTGACACCCCTGCTCTAAATACTCAAAGATCATGTAGAAAAGAAAATCTTTTTTTTAAAAATCAGACTTTTGTCACCTTTCAATCCTTATAGCAGGTATTTCTCTTAAGATGGAAGAGCAACCTATCATGCTCTCTTAAGTCCTGTGTGTTTCTCTTTCATAGTAACTGAACCTCTTCCTATAATCCCCTTTTCTCTCAAATGGCTTATTTTTCTGCCTTAGATTTTCTGTATTAGTATGAGTGATGTTTCCTTCAGACTTGCTTCCATATAAATTGCCAAATGAATGATGAATGATTCTTTTATGACAATAAAAGCAATGCCACCAGAGCTTCACAAATGCTAATACTTTTGAAAGTCTTGATTTAAGTTCTCTAGATTGTTCAGGTCATACTTTCCTAGATATCTACAAGTCACTAGAACATCAACAAATAAATTGCTTTGTACTTTGTATACTTCATATTGTTTCGAAAGCTGTCCAAGGAAATTCTCACTGTTTGCAAATATCCTAGGAGCTTATTTACCTCCTGAATTTGCATTTTAAGTGAGTAAAGTTTTGATCAAATAAGCTTTTTCCCTCCAGTATATTGCAAGGGAAATTGAATATTTCAGTGATCAACTTAGTTTATCTAGCCTCAGGAGTTGCACAATCCCTGTTGTAAATCTGTGCATATGGGTGAATAATTCCAAATTTTGCTGGAAAAAAAGATTAGAAGATTAGTTTTCTTCCAGAAAACACATACATAGACACATACACTCACACACTCCCTGAGAACTCTGGTAAACTTTATAAATTTATGAATCTTTTATCTTACTAATGCTTACTATGGGACGGTAGAGTCTATACGTAGGTTTTGAAATACAGTTTAAAAGAAGCTATTTAGTATGTTAAATAGAAAATTAATAAACATTATGCTATTACCACTGGCTTGGTACACATATAAAACTTTTTATTTGCAAAGGGTAGTTTGTAATTCAGGAACTGACCCCATAAAGTTTAATATTGTTAACTATGGTTTAATTTCATGTAGTGGCCAATATAAATTCTGTGGACATACACTAGATTGCTCTGTTAATGCGATGTTAATATTAATAACAATGCAATTTAGACTATTCAGCCATAGTCTAAATCATGCACTAAAATGTTTTTATTAGAATACTTGTACATAGGAAATCAATGCCGTATGCTTTTTAGCATTTATTTTGATGGTGAGAAAAATGTCTACATTTCCAATTTTGAACATCCAGAGAACTATGCATTTGGGATTGTGTGTTTTCCAGTACCATTACCTCTAAGGACTCTAATCTGCAATGACCAAATTCAACTAATACTAGCTTGATTCATTATGTTAATAATTAATTTGTAATTTTTGTTTTTGCCTCAGTGTTTATTTCTGCTTCCTGTCATTGAATATATCAGAGATAAGACCTTTTGAAGATGCTGTATGTGATTGATATTCACACTTTTTTTTTTGCTATTTCCCACTTCAAAAGCCATCTCTCACAATAACTGCTTGCTTATCCCATTTTATTCATTCTGTGAATAAAGCTGGTGCCATCTAACTGTAGCTGTTTGGGGCCTACAGGTCCTCTAATACTTCTGGGTCCTGGCTCATTTTGAATGTCCCATACGTTGATAAAATTCTATATAGCTAGACCAGGGGTGTGAAACTCAAGGCCCAGGGCTGGATTCAGTCTGTGGGGTGTTTTGATCTGGCCTGTGGGGCCTCCCTGGAAACAGTAGAGGTCTGGCTTGGGAGGCCCACTCTGTTTTCGCTGGCAGAGGATTGCAGGAGGCTGTCATAGCTGAAAACAGAGCTTGGGAGCCTGTTTTCTCTGGCAGAGCACTTGTGCCACCACAAGGTTCCCCCAACATGAGTGACGTCAAGCTGGCCACATCCACCTGGCCACGCCTACCCCAGCTCCCCAAGGCACAACCCTGATGTGGCCCTCAATGAAATAGAGTTTTACACCCCTGAGCTAGACTCTCCTCCCAAAGGTCGTACCAGATTGTTGCCTCTTCCCAAACTTTTGCCTCTCCTAGGATCATTGCCGCTGTGATTTCATACTGACGTATGTCTATTCTAGGTTTAAAGTTTGAGGAGCTACAAGAGAAGTTCGGGGCTGAATTCTTCAATATCTGCTTCAGTGAGAATGAGAGAGTCCTTCGAGCTGTGGGTGGCACCTTGCAAGATTTTTTTAATGGCTTTGATGCTTTGCTGGAGCACATAAGGACTTCTTTTGGGAGGCAGGTCACTTCAGAATCCCCTTCTTTCCTATGCAAAGAGCTCCCTGGAGGCAACCTTATGCTTCACTGCTTCCATCCCCATCAAATCGTTGGGTTTGCCATGATGGGCATGGTGAAGGAAGCAGCAAGGAAGATCTACCAACTGGATGTCGAAGTGGAACAGATTGTAAACGATAAACTATGTTCTGAGGACCTAAACCCAGGCAACTGCAGCTGTCTCACTTTTATTATCAAAGAGCGTGAAAATGCAAAGATCACAAAAGCGCTTCCTCTGGGGACATCTCAATCCCCCTCAGATCTGAGGATAAGCATTAACACCTTCTGCCGTGCTTTTCCTTTCCATCTGATGTTTGATCCCAGCATGTTAGTAATGCAGCTGGGTGAAGGACTAAGGAAGCAGCTGAAGTGCGAGGTTCATAAGACGTTGAAGTTCCAGGACTGCTTTGAAATCGTTTCTCCAAAGATTGCAGCCGTGTTTGAACGTGTCTTGCTGAGACTGTCCACCCCTTTCGTGATCCGAACCAAACTTGAAGCCTCTGGCTCTGAAAATAAAGACAAGGTAAGGAATGGCATTTTCTTCTTGGAGGAATGCCATTTTGGTAAATCACAAAAATGTCTAACACGGTGGTGGTATTCTACCAGTTCGGCCCGGTTCTGGCATACCAGTAGCGCTGATGCTCTTCGCTCCGATGCTCTGCAGTTGGGTCCACCTGCCTGCCTCTGTTCCTAGGTCCTTTTTAACCTGTCTGCTGTTTGGCGTCGCAGAGCGGATTGCTGTGCTAAACAGCTGAGAGGCGCGGTAGTTTAGTTTTTACTGTTTCAACGCATGCATAAAGCACGTTTTGGCGCATGCACGCATGCCTGATCGCACACGTCGCACAATTCCATCCCTGCAGCCATGCTCACCAAACCATGCCCACAGAACCGGTGGTGGGAACTTTTGAATCCCACCACTGGTTTAACAGTGTTAAAAATGATAATGGTGGAGTAAGAGCTACTGCTAAGATGAAGGATGAATGAAGTCTGGTCACAATGCAGAAGGTAAAGAGTGAATAGATGTCTTTGTGCTGTCTTCTGAGTGCAACATCCAAAGATTTGCACATAGCAATAGCACTTAGACGTACCGTGTTTCTCATATAATAAGGCCAGGTCTTATTTTTTTTTGAGCCCCGAAAAAATGGCTAGGCTGTCTTTTCGGGGGTGACTTAATTACCCCCCCCTTTGCATCTTCGGGCGGGTGGGCGGCGATGGCTTGGATGTTGACCTCGGCGTTGGTGGGGCACTTCGTATTGGGGTCAACGCAGGCAGCACCATATCTGGGTGTGCAACAAAAGTACTTCCTAACGGCAAGCCCCCCCACCATTCCCCCCATTTCGCATGTTTTAATATAGGCCTTAATTTGGGGGGAGGGGCTTAATTTCATTTCATGCCTATAAAACATGCTGGGACTTCCTATTGGGGGAGGCCATATTGTTGGAGAAACAGGGTGTATATTGCTCCATTGTGCTTTAAAGCGCCCTCTGGGCAGTTTACGAAGTCAGCATATTGTCCCCAGCAATCTGGGTCCTCATTTTACTGACCTCAGAAGGATGGCAGGCTGAGTCAACCTTGAGCCCCATCAAGTTCGAACTCCAGGCTGTGGGCAGAGTTTGCCTGCAATCCTGTATTCTAACTACTGTGCCACCAGGGCACATCTCAGGACATGCTAGTTTTCTCTTTAGAAAAATATGAATCCAAGATACCTGTATATTTTATTGTAAGCTATAAACAGGAAGTGTAGACTGTGACACATACTGAACTTTTTCCTGCTTTCAAGAATGCTGATGCAACTATCGATCTATCCTGATTTTTACCTCTCTCAAGCTTATTTTAGAGAAATATTAAACCCAATCTATGGACCTAATTTATGATATTTTTGGTGAAGTTTGATTCTTCGTTGCTAGATATTAGATCTTGAAATCCTAATATGCATAGTCCTCAAGTAGTTTCATCTAGCCTCCAGCTGATCAGTCATGGTGAGACTGTCAGACCAGAATAAAAAAAGTGATTCTTTCCAAGCACGAATCTCCTAAAATTCTCTTTAGTAAGCTTTATTTAGATTGAAAGCATTATTGATATAAAAATTACGGCAAGTAAGTTATTGTCAATTTAGAATCAGTGTATCTGTGTGTGCATAAGAGGGTAGACTTTCTAATTACAGTATTCTTTTTCTCCTAGCCATACAGGAGAGTCTACAACTGTAAATTCTTTACCCATAATTGCTTGTTATCAGGCCAAGGAAGAACTCTTTTCAATGAGTAGCATAATCAGATAGATGAAAAGCTGCTGAAACGTGCAGAAAATCAATAAGGCTGAATTTCCTCTCTTCTCCTTTCAGCATGATCAAATACTTTTCCTACTAAAACCAGGGTAAGGACCCGGAGTGGATTTCCCATATCCAGAATCCGATGTTATGGAGATCCAAGCCAAACATTTCCTTTTTCAGGGAGGGGGGGGGGAATAGAAAAACCTCCAGAAGAAAAGAAGGAAAAAAGAAAGGAAGGAAGGAAAGAAGGAAGGGAGGCTAGCTCTAGCTGCAAGAAGAGACAATAATTGTTTTGCAACAAAATAAAGAATCTGTTTCACCATATCTTACCTGTTATTCAGCTGTGATATTTATAATGTTTTTTTTTTACTCTTTCTTTAGATATATACCGTATATACTCGAGTATAAGTCGACCCGAATATAAGCCAAGGCACCTAATTTTACACAAAAAACTGGGAAAACTTATTGACTCGAGTATAAGCCGAGGGTGGGAAATGCAGCAGCTACTGGTAAATTTCAAAAATAAAAATAATTAATTTGGGAAACGATCTCACTATCATGAAAGGTTTAATTGATTCACTAACCCAAAAGAAGAAGATGATGATGACAGCGGGAGGCAGGAGTCACTCTCTTCCCCTCCCTCGGAGGCCCCCTGAGTCAGGAGTCACTACCGCCGGCGCGGCCCCAGTCCCGCCGCCTCGGGAAGGGAAAGGCAAAGCGCTTTTTGCCTTTCCCTTCCCGGCTGGGGCTGTTGGGAGTCGCTGCCGCCGGAGGCCGCGACTCCACACCATTTTTTTTTCAGAGGGGAATCTGACTCGAGTATAAGCCGAGGGGGATTTTTTCAGCACAAAAATTGGGCTGAAAAACTAGGCTTATACTCGAGTATATACAGTATACCTTTTCCAATTAGGTCAGGCTACAGACCCAGAACCTCAGGGTTTCCATTTGTTTTGTTTTCTTCATCTTTTTGCAGAAAGTCAAGCTTCTTTCTATTTTACTAGCAAGGTCAGGTTAGGGCATAAGAAAGCATGATTTAGCTCTGGGATATTCTGTCAATGATCCCTGCTTTCTAATGGGGATGTTTGGAGGAGTATCATCTCCCCACTTAATTCCCTCTCTCCCCCTCCCTATGTATATTCGTATTCCCTCCCAATGCTTGAAATATGAATAAAACTTTTTATTGACTTTACTACACTCAAAAGTTTAATTTTTAATCAGTTTTTTTTTGTAATAGGAAAGCTACAAGTGTGACCTTACTAACATTTTTTAAATACTTCAGTTCATTTATATTGATCATTTTTTTTGGCTAGGGGTTGTCTTTTACTTAATTTCCTTTTAAAATTCAGGTGGAATTAGTAAAGAGGGGAGTAAAAAAATTAGCATTCTGTTTCTTTTGTGATACAGTTTCACAAGGATAAAAAAGCCCAAACAGAATCACATTTTTTTTCCATGTTTGTTCCATTCTTCTGTTAGTATTCCTCACGTTTGCTTGTCAGAATGTGTTAGGCTCTAATGATTTTTAAAATGAATTACATTACTAATTTGACAGCTGGTAGTGGTTGTGAATGGAATAATGTAAAACAATAAATGACAATGTAGCTTAAAAATAGATCCTCCACCACCCTAATAGCTATGCTCCATTAAAGTTTAAAACTTTTTAGGGATGTGCTGAGGCCTAATTTTAAGACTATATGTTTTTGCTGTAATAAAATCTCATAATGAAATATTTTTTTTAATTGTTTGCATCCTAGCAGAGTCTTTTTTTAACCAAGATGCCCTTGAGATAGACAGGCCTATTTTTCAGCAATCTCTGAGTATTTGGATGGCACACAGGGTGTGGGATGTTTATCCTAGTGTAAGATATTTATTCTCCATGCAGATTGTAGGTTGACATTGTTTGGATAATGTAGTTGTGCCATCATAACAGGATTTCTCCAGGTTTTTATACTGGCTATTATTCAACATCACATTGTTGCATCTCCTTTCCATTTTTTTTTATATTTGAAAAATCTGTTAATTGTTAATTGTTAGTGCAAAGAAAACATATTTTGGGGATTAGATGCAATAATTGCACTATTTTTTTAAAACCCTGGCATCTATAATGAAGTATATGAATAAAGTGCTTGTAAGGATTAAAATAACATTTATTGAAGAGACCAGTCATGTTGCCTACAGTTCAGCAGTGGTGAATACGGAAGAACTGAGTACTGAAATTAGAAAATCGAAATCATATTCAGTCTCAAGTGGAAGAGCTGATAGGAGGCCAAGATTTAAAAAAAAAAAGATCAGATGCAAGTAATTTAAAAAACATGAAAGAGCAAAAATTGAAGAATGCAAGGATCAGGACAAGCCTAATAAAAAGATGTTGGCTTAGCACCAGAAAAAATAAAGAAGATTTGGAAATCATATACCAACAAGTACAAGCAACAGTTGGGAAAATCGAATGCTATGAGGCATGAATCATCCAATTTAAGAAAAACCAGCTGTTTTATTCAGACCAGAGGTAATTCTACCAAAATGGAATATCAAACAAAAAGAAAACAATCCAGTTTTGGAAAGATTTATGGGAAACTCAAAAATAGTATAATAAAAATACTAGATGGATTAAAAAAATGAAGATGAATCTAATAATGATCAAATGAAAGATGAATTTAGTAATGATCAAATGGAAAATTTAATAAAGATAACAAAATGGGTAAAAATCAAGTGAATAATACATAACAAAATGTACAGATCCAATACATAACATTTTTCCAGTTCAGATGACAGCAAATCAAAAATAACCACTCACAATAGCAACATATCCCAGTTTCACAGTCCAGTAAACCAACTTTGTATTTCTTCTTTTTATATAAACCAGTCTTGCTCGTTAATCCATTCATATGATTGATCCTTGTTTCAAATTTCTTCAAGACTTTAAACAGCTTTTTCAAAACCTTTTCTTTTGTAAATTGTCAATTTCATTTCCACCTTAAATTTCATTTCCACCTTAAATCGTCCAGTTTTTTTTTTCCACAGATGATGAATTCTTTTTCAAGTTTTATTCAAATTGTTCTCAGCTATAGTTTGCTACATAACTTTTTCTGTAACAACTTCTTCTGGGAATAGCATAATCCTAAAAAAATATAACATAGCTGATCTTATTCATTCAAAATCCCAATGCAATTCCTGAAAACTATCTCTGTAACTATCTATTATAAGTTGGTTGTCTTGTATGTCTCCAATATCAAAACAATTATTCTTTCCCACAAAAT